CCCCACGCCCACCACCGCGACCTCGCGGTTCCTCACGGTAGGAAGGCAGCCGGCCTCCTCTGCCGCTGTAGCTGCTGCCGCGGGAGGGCCCTCCACGGCCACGATATGGCCCACGGCCACGACCCCGGCCAGTACCTCGTCCTGAATTGGTGAATAATGCATGGTGAAGATCTGTTGACGAGGGAGAACCAGTGTCACCAAGGTGCAATTTCTTCTCAAAGGTGAGATTTAATTCTTCCGAGAGCAACCACGCAGATACTTGATTAAAAGTGACGGTTGCAATATTAGTACGAACGTTTTGTTTGAGCGAGGCATAGTCCGTAGGGAGGCCTCGAAGCACACACAGGATAATATCTTGTTCAGAGATGTCCTCATGAGCCAATTTCAGAGATGAGACAATAGTGAGAACAGTGTCCAGGTATGTTTGCATGGAATCAGTGCCCTTTTGAATGCTATGTAGGCGCTCCTTCAATTGAAAAATATGAGTACGTGATAGAGAATTGTACCGTTGTTCGAGGTGATTCCAGATCGCAGCAGAGGACGGAAGAGCATGAATATGAGTCTGAACGGTTGGAGAAACAATAGCAAGAAGACAGGCCCGGATTTGAGCATTAACAAGAACCCATGAGTCATAAGCAGGATTGGGTTTCATAACTGGCAGTTCATCCTTGCCAGGGGCGGCAGCTTTCTCGTCCAGAACAAGGGGTGGAGGAGGCACTTCTGAACCATCAACATATCCGAGGAGACGATGAACGATGAGATTTGCACGAACCGTAGCAGACCAAGAAGGATAATTTGTATCATCAAGTTTGACCGGAGTTAGAGATTGAAGATTCCGGACAAATAATTTCAAACCCGTAGGCAGACGATCCATGGGATCAGAAGATTGAGCAGCCATGGCCGATTGGTGGAGATCGGCGGCGTGGGAAGACGAATCGGCTAGGCCGATTTTTTTCTTTGTGTTATCGAGAAGGAAGAGACGGATCAATAGGCTCTGATACCATATTGAATTATGATTTCAACTCAAGGAAATAATTGTGTACAAGGTAGTTTATATAGATGGAGATTCCTACATCAATTAGGATTCTCCAAATATGGTAATTAACTATAATAACAATCCTTCTATAACTATAACTATTACCATAGTTATCTAACATATATATATATATATATATATATATATATATATATATGCCACAAGTCTCATACAAAGAAAGGAGAGAAAGGAATTACACAAGAGAAAAATAGAATGGGTGAGGGGAGTGTTAAATATATTAATTTTTTTAAATATATTTAGTATTATATTATAATTATGGTTGTTACATATTATAGTTAGAATTATTATTATATAATATTACCCTATATAATTAGTCATTAATGTGGAGGATTCTAGAATATATTTCTCTACCTATAAATACATACTTTGTATTCCTCTCTTATTCATTCAATCAATAAAGCATTTTTTTTATTATCTTACATGGTATGAGAGCCTTTTCTCTTGGTGACCTAATAGTTTTTGCTTCTGCTGCCGCTGCCGGTGGTTTGTCTGGCGACGGCGGCCCCACTTTCACTTTAGCTTATTCTTTCTTTGATCCAAATTCTTTCAAAATTCCATCTAGAAAAAATATATATTTCCAGCCACCCACAACCGTCTCTTTCTAGATCCATCACCGATGCTTCTTGATTTAAGATGAGATTGTAACATCAACTTGCTCAGTAGGCATATCTTCAGTTAACAAGCACCCTTAGCAACACTTCATTCTTTTTGTTTCTCTTCTAAATTAGTCATGCACGACTCAACCTTCTCCCTCTTTCGATGTCAGCAGCATGAGTCTGTTCGCAATGACTTTTCTCCTCTCCTCATCAGCATCATCAGATCTCTTTCCTTCCTCTCCTCATCAGCGTCATCAGATCTCTTTCCTGGCAATCTTTCTTCTTCTCTTCTGGGTCGGGTGCATTCAGTCTACTCAAGCCGAAGATATACCTCTAATTTCTGATTACAAATCTCGTCATGATTCAAGTAAAAGTTGGCGTTCAATCTTCACCTTCCAAGACGTTTGTAGCATGTTAAATATATAAATTATTTTAATATATTTAGTATTATATTATAATTATGGTTGTTACCTGTTATAGTTAGAGTTATTATTATATAATATTACCTTATATAATTAGTCATTAATGTGGAGGATTCTAGAATATACTTCATTCAATCAATAAAACATTTTTTTTATTATTTTACAGGGAGCCACAAATTGTTGGCGTCACTTTTATCCATGCCTAATTTTTGTTTTGTGATTTATAACAAGCTATGGTCCAAATTTTGAAGTTGATTCTAAAATTAGGGTTGAAAACACGTCCTTGAAGATATCTTGGTGAAAGTGTATAGTAGAGAAGCAGCTCGAACATGATTAAAGATAGAAGTCTTAATTTTGACTTTTTTTCTTAAAATTTAGAGGCAGTGTGTCTCAGCATGTTGTCATTGGCAGATGTAACCTACTTCTAAGATTGACTGAGAGGCTATCAAACATGGGGCCCGAAGACGTAACTGATTTTTCTCCAAACTTTGTAAATAATTATGTTGCACTGTTTACTATTTTTTGCATTATTTTCTACGTGTATGCATGTGACAGAAAAGATGTTATAGCACTTTGTCTATCACTTGTTTCTATTGATTGATCGAGGAAGGTCAGGTACATTCTCTTACTCCAATTTGTTTGGTTTGTGTGTCCATAACTTTGAAAAAAATTATACGTATTGAATGGTTTGGAATTGGATCGAACTCTACTATTTCAGGGAGTTTTCGATGTTAGACACTAGCTAGGTACCGCTAGCAGTACCCTGTTACCGCCATAGAGGAAATTTCTCTGCCGGTACCTTTGCCCAGACGGTAGGGGTACCGGACTGACGGTACGAAGGTACCAACTGGCGGTACCGTGACATGTAGCATACCAGCAGCTGCAAGCCCCGTTATTTGTTTGTTTGTTCCAATTTAAGTCACAGATTGATTCCGAGACCTTATATGCTGCATGACGGTAAGTGAAAGGTGTTTACACCCGACACTAGGCCGCTATTTGTATTATATGGTATAATATTTGATTATTGTTGTTCTTTTAGTATATTTTAAATATACTCTTGAAATGCCTTATACGAATAAAGTAAACTGAGTTTGTTGATAGCTTGGACCTGATTAATTAAAGTAAGTTGATGAGATAGGTTACCTAGAAGACTCTAGGACTACCTTGTGAGAATTGAGATTATAAGTTGACAATAGGTTGTAGAGCCTTTTGGACTTAGTGTTCGGTAGCATTTGGGTAAAGATGTGCATACAAAGAATCTAAGATTTGACCAGTAGGATTGAAGGTTCCACCCAACCGGCGCCGTAGGTACCGGGTTTACCAGAACCATGACCGTAGGTAGTGCTTCTGGTGTCATAGATTAGACTCTATTCATGGCCGTAGATAGTGGCTCTAAGTTCTAAGATAAGACTGTGGATAACGAAGAATTGGCCTTAGTCTAGAATAGGTTATGAGCTATTGTTTGATATGAGTTATTGTAATGACTTTAATATTAAGCTAATAACATATGCAAGAGAAGAACCAAGGTAAGTAACATGAAGTATGATTGTTATAACATAGTTGATTTTATTTGATGATGTTTATGTGATATTATTAATGTTCTACTTGTATGAATGTTATTTTGTGAAATTATGAGCTAGTGGGTTCAACTATATGCGTAGTCGAATTTTAGATATTTCTCACTTAGCGGCAATATTGAGCGTGTAGCGTTTGTTCTCTTGCTACACGTAGGTAATAGGAATGACGATTAAGGAAACAATCCTAGAGGGAAGCGAGGACGAGGAGATGCATGGATGTTGGCTAAAGGAGTTTATTTAATTTAATACTATATTTGAATTTATTATGTTATTGGGCAAGAATCCAAAGTTGTGTTTGAATTAAGTACTTAAAGCTTCCGCACCGTTTTTAAACTTTGATTAATGTTTTAAATATTATTTTTGAATTAAATATTTTAAATTATTTTGAAAATTATGTGTCTGGTACCAACCCGATATGCTGGTCCGTGTACTCGAGTCACGTAGGTCGGGTTGTTATAGTTTGTTATCAGAGCATAAGGTTTTAAAATCAGCCTTCGGACCCGTTCCAAGAGAAGAATTTCAAAAAAAATAAAATTAAGAACTTGAGTTTGTCTAAAAGGGTACTTCACTAGGTGCATCCACATCTCTTGCAACTCCTCTCCCTCAAGAAGGTAATTAGACTTTACTGTTATTTGTTATCTATTAATATCTGATTAGAAAAATATATACTTTTGACAAGACCACATTAGTTCATTTATGGCATGTTTGGCAACATGAATTTGGATTTCAAATCCGGATTTGACTCAAATTCCATGTTTGGAAAATTCAAAAATTTTGAATTTGGATTTGAGTCAAATTCCTTTCATTCATACCAAAGCTTAATTTCAAATCCATGCACCTCCCATTGTCATTTGAAATTCAAGATTTCAAATCTTGGAATTGAAATGCATGAATTGAAAATAATTGCTAGTTGCCAAACACTACCTTATATAATTGTCCCTATGTGCAAATATGTGTAAGTTATGTGTTCATGCCTTTTAGGAATAGTTATGTGTTCATGCCTTCTAACTCTGACATATGTTTTAAAAAATGTTTTTGAATTTAATGTTTTAAATTGTTTTAAAAATTATTTGTTTGGATGCCAACCTGGTTACAACCCGATCCGCTAGTCCGTGTATCCGGGTCACGCGGGTCGGGGTGTTACATACTCTCACGCAGATTAAGCTTGTTGTATTGATCCACCCGCCGGTCCACCTCTAGCTACTATTTACCACTACGCTGCACCACTCTTGAATTTGTGACAATATTAGTGTCATTGATTTATTATATAATCTTGTCCAGCATTAGTGCACGAAGCATGTTAAGATTGATATTCACTTTGTTCGTGTGACGTGATAAAGTTTCCCTTGGTCATGTTTGAGTGTTACATGGTCCTTCTTCTTCACAATATGCAAATATTTTTACCAAGGGACTCATGTCACTTCTCTTTGCAGATATCAGAGATAGTCTTGGTATACCTGTCAGCGATAACATTGCGGGGAGCACATTAGACATATTTTATATAAATTTAGTATTAATATTGTACCTTCTTCGTCTTGCAAAACATTTCATGTTTTGACTTTTGGAGCGAAAAGTGTAGAAGTTTGACCAAAATGAAACGACGACAATTGAAATAAGTAGGACTCGAGAAATATCAAAATTGGTAGGGCGACGTAGAAGATAGTCGAGGTAGGTTCAGATAGATTTAAGAAAAGTAAAGGCACTTGTGTTTATTTAACCGAAATTGAAATGTTCCATGGGATAAGTAAGATGTAAAAGTTGATAGGTTTTATGGAACGGAGGTAGTATATGATAGTTACCTTTTGTATAGGATTTTCTTTGATATTATTCCTACCATACTTAGAACACTCTATGTATATACTCCCTCTGTCTCGGAAAACATGAGAGTTTTGATTTTGAATAGGATTTAAGGAGAGTGTATTTTGGTATTGAATTTCCAAAAATGTCCTTTGATGTGATGAGTAAAAGTATGATTTGATGGATAGATTATTAGTAAAAAGATATGATGTGATATGTAGAGTATGAAAAAGTAAGGGGTAAAAGTAACTTTTTAATAGAAATGAGAAATGTTTTTTGGAACGGATGAAAAAAGAAAAAAGAAAGGTTTTCAGGGACGGAGGGAATATTAAGGTGAGCCTCACTCTTATAATTAATAGAATATCATAATTCTTCAATTGTACTAAAAATACTCCCTCCGTCCCACTATTTTTGTCCACTTACCTTTTGGCACACCATCCAATGCACTTCTTTAATCCATTTTATTTTATAATTTGTATATTAAAAAATTATAAAAAATTATATATTACTCCCTCCGTCCTATAGTGATCTTCCCAGAGCACTATTCCAACTTCACGGAAATTTATATTTATTTGTGTTTTTTCATGGCCTATATGATAAAATAAAATATTCTTGTCACCACTTGTTTTGTTGAACTTTTGGTGTAGTTTTTAAATATGTATGTTTTATTTTTTATTTCTATACCAATATTTAAATAAAATAGATTGAAAAAACTTGGGATTTTTCTTCGTTTTGCGAACCGGGAAGATCATTATAGGACGGAGGGAGTAATAATCTATATGTTAAGACAAATCAAACAAGATCACACATGACTATTTTTAGGCTTACACATTGAGAGAATTTGATGAGTCAAAGTGCTTAGATGAACAGTTGCAAAAGTCAAAACTGGACAAAGACAATGGGACGGGGAGATAGTATAATTCTATTTAGGCCGGTATTGGATGGGCTTAACCTTTTCCTCTATGAGCTTGTTCAACTAAAGTGTCACAACTTGGCATAGTAGAACAGTTTGGTCTAGCACTTCCCCTGAACAATTCAAATAAATAACGCCATTTTTGCGGTGCACTAATAGTCAGCAGCCCTAGACTTCTTCCCCGTTTTTCGGCACTCTTCTCCTCTCGGCGCTACAAACTTTATTTTTTGAAAGCTCAGCTCTGAAAATGAAATTTTTTTTAATGGTTGCAAGAAGCGTTCAACCACCAACGAACTCTTTCCCATTTGGTTTTTTTTTTGCCAGCATAGGAAGAAGCATTAAGTTCAAGGTTTTATTAGTGTCGATTTCCGACATCACCAGTGTGGAAGTTTCTTCCGATGTAATAGCTCTTTGCGCGCGGAGGACACGGCCCGGCCTTTCTAAATTATTTCGCGATTTACTTACTCACTACTCCGTCGAGCCAGTGTGTGCGGCACTTGGGAGGCGTTACACTTTTTCTTCACTACCACCTAAATGATTTTTTTAGATTTATCTTGCGAAAAAACTTCTGCCGAGTAAAAATTTTATTTCATTGTATTAATATGTAATAGCAGTGTATATTATTAGTACATGCTACATAAATGATTTTTTTAAGATTTCTATTGTTAAAATTTTTCAAAATTGTATGAAAATGTAATAGAAGTGTATATTAGCACATACGACGTCCTAAATTATTTTTTTTAGATTTATCTTTTTGAAAACTTTCAAAATTTTATTTCACTATATTAATATGTAATGCAAATAAAAGGTAACTGAGGTCAATTTGACAAAAGAAAAAGTAATTTTTTAAATTTTCTTTTTCTTTGGAGTTGTTTATTCTCCCATCCATGTGAACAAGCCGCGTTTACTTGCCCACTAATCTCTTCTTTATGTATCTCCCCCGGCCCATTTCTCTTCTTCTCTCACCGAATTGTGGACACATTATTACTACAAGTCAACATGTCAGGAACTCAATAATAAGCTTTAGCTCATTTAGTTCCGAACTGCCCCATTGCCACTTCTTTATTTTAATTTCTCCATTGACCTTTATATATTAGTACAAAACCCATTCTCTATATCCAACTACACCCTTCTCCCTTTCTCTCTTCATCTTTCATTCCTTTTATAGTTTTTATTTGTACAATCTTTATACATTTAGATTGGTGCAAAAACAAAAAGAAGAAAAGGTATAACCATATTGCCATTGGCGGCTTGGCGCAGCCCTCTGTGCGCCAAACCCGCCTTTAGCAGACAGCTAGTGTACCTTTCGCGGTTGATGTCCGTTGTTGCACCGGTGGCAGTGGCAATGACTGGGGTTTTAGGGCGGAGCAAATCGGTTATAGCAATCACGGGGAGAATCGTTAACGACATCCTTAGCTTTGTCGTTTTCTCCCTCTTGGACGTGCTAGATTTTGTCCTCTGTTACGCTTTTAAGGTCCTCGATTTCGCGATAGAGGCGGAATGGAGGTCGTGTTACTGCTGGTATGCCAAAGAAGGCAGTACCAGCAAGGGCACAATCTTGGTCTCCGAGCAAGGGGAGTCCAAGATTCTTCGCCTCACTTCTTCCAGCAAGCTTCAGCTGGAAGAAGTTTCGGACACCTTGTTCAACCGACCTTCGTATCTCGCCGAAATTTCGAAATCAACGGTGAATGAGCTTAAGATGAGGCGCAAAGTGGAGAATAAGGTTCACCAACAATCCTGTGATCATCATCATCCTCATCATCATCATCAAATCAAGGAGGGGAGATCAACATTCACAATCAGCTCCACCATTGCTGAGATTCTTCAAGGTAGGATTGGAGGTCGGCAGCAGCCGCATTGTCCCGCCCCGAGATGGTCCGATTGCGATTGCAAGACTTGCCATTCTTGGGCATCTTCTTGCAAGGACACATTGTACGTCAAAGTAGATGGTGCCAAAGGTATGTATGTATTTAGTTATACTCAAAATTAGAAATTCGAAGTTAATTTTGTTAAGTTCTTCAACTTATTTATTTTTTTATTTTAGGCAATAATGTGCAAGAAGATGTTCTGTTCATCCATGGCTTCATTTCATCGTCTGCGTTTTGGACGGAGACGTTGTTTCCCAACTTCTCGAAGGAGGCAAAATCTAAGTACCGTTTGTTCGCGGTGGACCTGCTCGGGTTCGGGAGGAGTCCCAAACCGAATGACTCGCTTTTCACGTTGAGGGAGCACCTTGAGATGATCGAAAAATCTGTTCTTGCCCCCTACAAGGTTAAGTCATTCCACATCGTCGCTCACTCTCTGGGGTGCATTTTGGCCCTCGCACTCGCCGTGAAGCACCCCGGTCTCATCAAGTCCCTCACGTTGATCGCCCCCGTAAGTAACTAGCCAGTCTCATCTCCAGCTAATCCAATGTATATGAAATGGCAACTTGCAATGCCACTTTTATTAAGAGGATAAAAACACGCTAGAGGCGTTGTTTTGGTATAAATTTCATGTTTTAGTCTTATTTAATGTAATAAAAAAATGTGCAGCCATATTTCCCGGCGCCAGAGGGAGAGCAGGCTACGCAATACATGATGAGGAAAGTGGCACCGCGGCGGGTGTGGCCACCCATCGCGTTCGGTGCGTCGTTAGCGTGCTGGTACGAGCATGTTAACCGGACGCTTTGCCTGGTGATCAGCAAAAACCACCGGCTATGGGAATTTCTCACCAAAGTCATTACGAGAAACAGGTTAGTTAATTTTACGTTGATGTTCTATCTCCGATATCCTTAAGTAAGTATTATTATGGTTGAGTATATATGGTTGGTTGGTTGGTTGGTTGAAGGAATTAAAGAAAGGCCAGCGGTCAACACGTACAGAACCAATTACTTTAACTAGCTGGTTTTCATGTACGTACACATTACCAATCCAGTAAGAAGAATTGGATCACCCCCAGATGCATACACACACACACACATGTTGGCGTCTAGTCAATTTGCAACGAATAGTACTAAAATATGTCTTTTCCTTAAATAGTATTTGAACAATGCACGGTAAGAGGAACATGCCTAGTGGCGATGAACATTTCCACTTCCTCTTTCGTTTTTTGGTTTTCCCCAAAACACTTCCACTTTTTATTACAAAACTATTTTTACCTCTATTTTTTCTTACTCTACCTATCACATCATACTTTTTCACTAATTATCTATCCATCGCATTTTTTACTTTTATTCATCAACCATAAATATACACTCCTTATTTCTCCTAAAAACCAAAACAGGAATCGTTTTATTAAAGGGAGGGAGTAGAACGATGTTCGGTGGCGGTAAATATTACATGAACAATAATATTATACATTCGAAAATTAAAACGAATAATACTACATTGAGAAACTCACTGTAATTATCGGGTTGTGCTTCTTGTAAAAAAACACAAAAGAAATCCAACTGTGTAGAAATACTCCCTCCGTCCTATAATGATCTTCCCAGAGCATTATTCCAACTTCACGAGAATCTATATTTATTTGTGTTTTTTCATGGCCTATATGATAAAATAAAATATTCTTGTCACCACTTGTTTTGTTGAACATTTGATGTAGTTTTTAAATATGTATGTTTTATTTTTTATTTCTATACCAATATTTAAATAAAATAGATTGAAAAAACTTAGGATTTTTCATCGTTTTGCAAACCGGGAAAATCATTATAGGACGGAGGGAGTATTAATTATCTGCGGTGGGTCGTGTAAAAAAAAAGAGATGTAAGACTGATTAATTCATTTATTAGGTTTAGTTGTCACAAGTCACAACCAATCTACAACTGGATAGCCGGCCGGTTATTATGCCTTCCTAATTATATTGCGGCGATTAATTAAGGCCTCATTTTGTCAATAATTTCCCAATGAATTTCTTTCCGAGTTTTAAATACAAAAACTTTATCCACATACGCATAGGACTTTAACATTGTTCCATCGTGCCCCAAAAGAAAAATGCTTTGAGTTTTTGGACAAAACTTCGTACGACTACTGTAACGATAATTAATTTCTGTTGGAATTCACGTTCGTTCTCTTTTAATTTAATTTGAAGGGTTATTAAAACATCAAGAAGTAACATATCGAAAACAAAATCAAGAAGTCACATTTTGAACACCAAATCAAATGTTATCTACGAAATAATTATGTTTAATTTTAACATTTTTAAATGTCCACCATCACTGGACATTAATCTCGCCACTAAACATTATTACAGTATTATTTATGGAATACAAAAGTTAAATACTCCGTAATACTTAGGGAATTTAGTACAATTTTTTAAAAAAAAAATGCCTGATGAGAAGAAAATGGGCCTCTCCGACCTAAACGTAGTTTCATTTTCCAAGAACCTTTCTACTTTGGTGTATGAAAAGAAATGTGTCGATCCATTATAAATATTCATTAATCATAATAACAATGCTTCACCAACCGCAACTCCTGCCCGCCCTCTCCACAGTCCACATTAAAGTCTCTTCTTACTCCCTCTCTCTCAACAAATGTATCATTAATTCCTTCCTCTAAACTTAAAGTTTGTAGTTAAAAACCCAAGAGTAGTATTCCTTTTTTGAAGATAAAGAGAGGGATAATGGACAGTTAGGCACGTTCATTATTCTTTTTTTATGATGGAGAGAGGAAAAATGGACGGCGAGACCATGATCAGTGGCGGCTGACCGTCGATATGATGATGAAGACCATCGGTGGTGTACAGTCGTAAAAGAACGGAAGCTAGGTTCTTGAGATGAGAGATTTTAATTTAGATATCATGATACAATTTGTTAATAATTAGTGTTATTCAATAATGAAAGTTATTCCATCTCTATATATAGGGATTACAAGAGAGAATCGTTGTCATAATAGAATAAACATTATGAAAGCAATAAAATAAGGACGGTAAGTAAATAATAATATTGTTTCCTATTACAGGATACGGACGTATTTGGTGGAAGGGTTCTGTTGCCACACGCACAACGCGGCATGGCACACGCTACACAACGTGATATGTGGGACGGCGTCGAAAATTGAATCATATTTGGAAGCGGTGAGAAACAAGGTGAAGTGCGAGGTGACGATTTTCCACGGTCGTGACGACATGCTCATCCCTTTGGAATGCAGCTACAATGTGCAATCCAAAGTACCCCGTGCCAACGTCAAGGTCGTGGACGACAAAGATCACATTACCATTGTTGTGGGAAGGCAGAAGCCTTTTGCCAGGGAACTTGAACAGATTTGGACTAATTCCTCCCGCTAGATGATCGATCATGCATCCATACTACGTCTACATTCGCAAATTGTTTATTCGATAAATCCCCGATCTATCTATCTATATATGTCTACATAATATTTTACTTTCTCTTTTAAAATTAATTATTGTTGTGCATGTTGATCTATATGGAAAATTTGAAAAATATTTTGCTTATTTGCTTGAGTCAGTTGAGTGTGAGAGTTAAATCGCCTCCTACACATATCGCCAATTCAATGCATATATAAATATACAATTGTAATGATCCAGTTGATGGTACGTACTAAACAAAGTTGCCAATACCAAGTTTAGGGCTTGTTTTTTTCACATAATCTAATTGATTCTAATTTGATTAAAATAAGTTATGATTTGGTCGAATCTAATTGTACTTGCATTCAAAAATATTTCTGATCTGATCTAGTTCTAATAAGAATATATAACTAATATTGCCTCCGTCCCAATTTAAATGGTCTAATTTCGGTTTACGGTGTTTGACTGAAGTCATTTTAATGTCCGAGTATTATGCGTGCGTTTGAAATGTATTGTGTTTTTACCCCACGTTAATTGTTTGTATGAGCAGTTTTTGGCGTATTGAGGTTGTTAATTGGTTGGGGTTTTTCATTGTTTGATGCACATGTTTGACATCAACACTAATATTCCTGTTCTTTGTCTTTTTTGGCACTTTCCTATCCCTATTGTTTAGTTTTTTAATTCAAGTACGGAGCATATGATATGGAGTGTACGTTTTTTAAAGATTTGTCATAATTTATTAGGATAATGATTTTCATTTTTGCAGCGAAAACACAGCTAACAAAGTCCAAAACATCAAGAAACCTCCCTATACAAAACGAAATTATTAGTTTAAAACTCAACATATTTAGGCCATGTTTGGCATCAACGTTAAAAGTTATCGTTAGCGCATTGAAAAAAGAGGAATTTACTTAAATAGTATTAAAACATAATGATTTTCTCTAAATAGCACTACATGTGTTTTTCTTCCCAATGTAGCACTTTTAGTCATTATGCATTAGTCATTATTCAAGCAAATATTTGCCATCAATGGACATTATGGACATTATTAAGTGTTATTTAGAGAATAAAACAGTTTAAGTGCTATTTAGGGAAATGATTTAAGTTTTAGTGCTATTTAATGCAAATATTTCTTGAAAAAACTATCTGACGGTAGCCTTTAGCTTTAGCATTTTCAGAACTAATCTACACCATTAATGTTTTATATAAAATACTAAGGCTAATCAAAATCATTGTTCCCAAACAAGGCCTCAAGAAACTCCCCAAACGTACTTTGCTTTTAATGTATAGCTCTGTTCCTTCGGTCTTGCTTTCTTTTCCTTTATCCGTTATAGATTCTTCCTCATCCCTTTAATACTAACACCCTTCACTGGTATTTGGTGTCTACTCATACGGCTACCCCGACAAATGACACCGGGTCCAGTTGAAGCATCTAACGGTACTCCATTTGTAAAATTGATGTTTCGATCTCCCTAAAACTCTGAGCGAACCCCTCATTCCGGCCGAGTCTGAACCCACCCACTAACCACTTCAATTTTATCCTCAAAATATTGTTGACTTTGAAGTAAAACTTTTTAACTCAAAGTCAACAATAATTTGGGGATGAAATTGAAAGGGTTAGAGGGTGGGCTCGGGTCGAGCCGGGGTGAAGGGGTTAACCCGGTGAGGTTAGAGAGTGTGAACCATCAAATTTACAGAAAAAAACATCATAGGTGTCACAAAACCTCACTGGGACCGTAGTGTCAACTGGGGTTGGTGTCAACGGAACCCCTCTACTACTCATAACATGTTTAAATAAGTTTTTTGCAGATCCACATCTCCCAAACAAATGTTTATCTGTTGGCAAACTCACAAGAATACTCTCAGAAATTACAGATTTTACAAAAATACTCCCAAATTTGTTGATTTACATTTTTACTCCCACATTTGTCTATTATTTACGTTGTTACTCCGCGATTGCTTCATCATCAGTGTTTCTCGGGTGCGTCTTTTTAAACGGGGTTCTTCATCTTTTTTTATTGAATTCAAATTAAATTAATATGAACAGACTTGATATTAAACATTAAAAAGATTTAGCAAGTTTGAAATCTGAAATTTTATTAAAAAAAGATTGAAATAAGGGCAATGATTAGGTTTACTAAGACGTGAGAAAGTCGATGGAGAGAATAAGTTGAGGTGAATTTGGTATATTAGAGTGAAAAAAATACATGTCTGCATTTTAACTGTTCACTTAGAGCAACTCTGTTGGGCCGTGTTCCTTGGACCACAAGGCAAGAAGGAAAGCAAATCCCATTCTAAGTGGGATTGCTCTTGATTTGTTTCCTAGTTCATATTTAGTGATTTGTTTCCATGTAGGAGTAGAATTCCTTGTGTTTTGGTCTTTTTCCTCTCCTATAAATAAAGGAGAAACCCCTTGTAATTGGTAAAACAATTCAATATACTGTCTCTTATTAATTTCTACATGGTATCGGAGCCAAGTTCCTAGGGAAAACCCTAATCTAGACAAACGACGGTCCATCACTGTCCTCCGCCGGTTCAAGCCTGTCTTCCGCCGGATCACCGACCTCGACCGCCGAACTATCCTCCTCGACCGTAGACATGGCAGAAGTTGAGGAAAATCTCGTCGGCAAGCTCTTCGATGAGGAAGAGAAGATCCCTACGAAGGGAAATTCTTACGAACTCAAGAACGCAGACACACCTGGATTAATTATCACCCAAGTCAAACTAAACGGTGATAATTATGAAGAATGGGCTCGTGCAATGAGAATTGCATTCCGTGCAAAACGGAAAATTGGATTCATCGACGGATCCATCCCTTGTCCAGAAGAGGAAGATGAAAACTATGAAGAATGGTGGATTGTGAATGCCATGTTGGTCTCATGGATTTACAACACAATTGATGGCAGCCTGAGAAACTCCATCACACAAGTAGAAGAAGCAGCAGAACTATGGAAGGATATCCAAGATCGTTTTTCTGTTGCAAACGGTCCTCGAATTCATCAACTGAAGAAGGAACTTGCAAATTGCAAGCAAAACGGTCAATCCATCGTTACGTACTTTGGAAAATTAAAAACCATATGGGACGAACTCGGCGATCATGAAAAAATCCCCGCTTGCAAGTGCCATGGATGCAAGTGTGGGATAAGCAAAGTGCTTGCCATCCAACGCGACAAAGAAAAGGTTCACCAATTTCTGATGGGATTGGATAACGAAGGATATGGGAGTCTACGATCTAACATCATTGCCACAGAACCCTTGCCACCTCTGAATCGCGTATACTCCACCATTATCCAGCAGGAAGGGGTCTTGAAGATTACTCAAGAAGAGGAACGTAACCCGGTGGGCTTTGTCGTCACCTCCAAATTTGACCGTGACGCAACTAAGGATTTAAAATGCAAACATTGTGGGTTGAGCGGACACGAGAAGAGTGGTTTCTTTCAACTCATTGGATATCCTGAATGGTGGGGAGATCGCCCACGTATCCTGAACCCGGGACGAGGTAATGGCCGCGGCAACAACACAGGGGGACGGCGCGGCGGCAGGGGGGGCAACGCCGGCCGAGGTAACCGCGGCGGAGCTGGTGGCGGTCCAGCAGGCGGACCGGCGGCACACACGGCTCAGGCCAACGCAACGGATGGGGGACGTGCGCTCCATCAACCAAATCTCCCTTCTCTCACAACCAATCAATGGAATGCACTCATGGGACTCTTAAACGAGAAAGATTCGGGTATGGAAAGTAAATTTTCAGGTATGACTAACACTTCTTGGATCATTGATAGTGGAGCGAGTCAACATATGACCGATGATAAGAAGTGTCTTGAAAATTTGGAAGCAATAAAACCTTGCTCAGTTGGCCTACCGAATGGAGATTGTGCGATAGCCAACCAAAAGGGGAGTGTGATTGTGGATAATTTGATCACCTTAGAAAATGTTTTGCTAGTTCCTCAACTCAACTGCAATCTTATATCTGTCTCACAACTTCTTGAGTAAAAGAATTTAATTGTCAAGTTTAATAATAAAATTTGTCTTATACAGGACTATATCTCGAAGATGGTGATTGGAATGGGTGAGCAGGCTGAAGGACTATATTATCTCAAGAAAGATGTGAAGGACAAAGTCTGCACTGTGAAGGAGGCGAAGGATCTGGACATTTGACACAAGCGCTTGGGTCATCCCTCCTACACCACTGTCAACACTTTTCTCCATTTACCCAAAAATACCAATATCCCTGATTCCCCTTGTGATGTGTGTTTTCGTTCAAAACAATGTCGTGACTCTTTTCCAATTAGTCTGAATAAATCTATTACTCCTTTTTCCTTGATTCACTGTGATTTATGGGGTGGGTATCGTACTCCGTCTCGCACTGGGGCTAGATATTTCTTAACTATTGTTGATGATTTCTCTCGGGCAACTTGGGTGTATTTATTAAATCACAAATATGAAGCCCCTACTGTCTTGCGTAATTTCTTTTCCATGATTGAGCGACAATTCAATAAACAAGTGAAAACTGTACGAAGTGACAATGGTACAGAGTTCACTTGTTTAAAATCTTTCTTTGACAATCATGGGATTATTTTTGAATCCTCTTGCGTCGGTACCCCACAACAAAATGGTCGAGTCGAACGAAAACACCGTCACATTCTCAACATTGC